GCGGGGGAGGGGGGGGATTAATGGGAAAGGGAGACTTTGATGGTTTAGGGGTTTAGAAAAGAAAAACTATGAGCATTATATATATATATACGTGCTTGTTAAAGGAAATTTTAAAAAACCAGTGTGCTGAATAAACATTGTTGCTGACCTATAGTTAACCCTTTACTGTTTCTTGCATACCGCAGCATTCTGTGATAAACATCAACCCGCCCATTTACGCGCATGACCCCGATGTGACGATCAGCGAGAAGATTGTCTACTCTTTTCACGGTAAGCTCCCCTTTTCATTCTCTATGTTGACCTCTGTTATCTCCCTTCTCCTGTTTCCTTTCCGACCTCACATACAATGCACTGACCCCTTTTTTGTAGTAGAAGTAGCGGCAGCAGCCATCTTGCACACTTTTGCTGTTGTGTTCTGAATTTTTCTGGTTTCTTTACTTTTTTTTCCATTTTATTTGTGTGTGTTTTTCTGATGTAGTTCTAATTGATAATGAAATAACAATGATGAGTCATTGTATGTAGACTACGAACTTAGCGGGCATAATTTCATTCAGAAGTTTTTATTCTTAAATTTCTTTTTTTAGAATTGCGACTGGAGGGGGGGGGGGTTTACTTCGGGAAAGCGTATTATTAATAATGTAATATTTGAAAGCACTTTTTGTGTACACTCTCTTGGCCTAGATCTAGAATCGGGAACATGAGCTCACTTATTGATGCTGGTTGCCCTCCCAACTTCTTTGTTTATGTAGTAGCAAAATTAACTTTCAGAGAGACATCAATGATGTGTCCTTCTGGGTATGGAAGGGGATTAAAATCGTAATATTAGCCTCAAGTACACTTGAGAAAGTTATTCACAGTTCTGAATAGAAGACGGCACTTATATAACCGTATTGTGTTGCAAGTGTCTTAAAACTCTTACGAAAACGAATGAATAAGATATAATAAGAGAGTTCACGTATCTAATCTATTAAAATAATGGAATAAAACGTTGAAAGTGGGAGGGGGGGAGGAGGATTGCACGTTGTTAGTGAAGAACCAGTGGTTGTGAATGAAAAGTGATGATATTTCATGTTTTGTGACTGTTTAGCAGTTCTACTAAACGAGTGCTTTGTCGCCTAGCGAGAGAAATTCTTATAACGAAGAGAAAATTATTGTTGCAACATTTGCAGTCTGCGTCATCAGAAATATTCTATGAGGGCCTAGAATCTAATTGTTTTTGTGAATTGATCACAAGAGTTTTCAAAAATGTTAATAATATTTTACGTTTTAATTGAATTGTGTACTTTGGAAAAGTGGCATGTTTTAATGTTTTAAGTGTTGGTTTTTAGAAGGTTGAGAGAGAGAGAGAGAGAGAGAGAGAAAGAGAGAGAGAGAGAGAGAGAGAGAGAGAGAGAGAGAGAGAGAGAACCAGAGACAGAGACAGAGACAGAGAGAGTCAAAGGCAGAGAGAGAAACAGGGAGAGAGACGACCGAGAGAGACAGAGAGAGGTAGAAAGAGAGAGACAGAGAGAGGTAGAAA